CCAATTACAAAGTTACAAAGATATTTATGATTGAGTTTCAGGCAAGTATATTGTTCCAATACTAATCTTTCATCAGTGCCCTCTACCTTCCACCAATTTCCCCAGTTTCCCTCCCATCTCCCAGCCTGGCACTGTGGCAGACCCTTTTCCCCTCCCTTCTCCTGAGTGCTCCCTTTCCTAATTTATCACCCCCACCCCATCCTAGTGCCAAGCTTCCTACTGAAGACCAGTTCTCCTGCTCTGTTTCTACTGCCATTGGGCTTTCGATATTCTCCTATGAAATTTCTTTGTATGTCATATATACAAGACAGCTCACAGACTGGGAAAAATTTTTTCCCACTCACTCAATAAAGGGTTAACATCTAAGATATATACAAAGCTCTGGTAGAATTCTACAAGGAAAAAAATCCAACTCTATAAAAAAAATGGGAAGAGATGAACAGGAACTTCTTCAAAGAAGAAATATAAATGACCAAAGATCATATGAAAATAATACAGCAGGAGCTAAGTTGTGGAATTCCAGATCACTTTAAATCTTCACCCAGGGAATAGGTAGACAATCAGAAGGTAGAATGGGATGACAGAGAGTGGGATTTGGCAGCAGATTAAAGGAAGTCTCCAGCCCTATCTCTCTCTGAGCACACACTCCCTGGACCCTCTTCTCTCTCCCTGGATCAAGTGGGGAAGCGCACCCAGACACAGGGCCCAGTACAGGTGGGCCACTCTGGGCCAGACAGGGGCAGAATACAGGCAGGGCTCAGCTGCTCAGGAAAGCTCAGGTTCAGGCAAGGCTCAGACACCCAGATCTTGACAAGGTCCTGAGCACAGGAGTCTCACCCATGTGCATCTGGCTGTAACTGGAGACTAGGAAAGCCAGGACAGGATGATAGTAACTGCTGGGCTATAGCTGGGAGAATCAGCAACAGGTTCAGTGCAGAGGGATCTTGCCCACACGTATGACTGTGGCCGGAGACTGATGAAAGTGTACGTGATATAGAGAGAGCAGCGCAGGGACAGGACTTGGCCACTGCTCACAAAAGGCGAGTAGACTGCGTGCAATGGGACAAAGAAGTTGTGAATGGGATGGGATAGTGTGGGACAACACCAGTGACAGCTTTCATGCGAGGCAAGTAGACAGATTGGAACAGAACAGGGAAGGCACTCACAAGGACTGGGAAGTGCAGGGGAAGGGTCTGGTCATTGTTCATCTGCAAAAGAGAGGCCTGGACATCTGCGGAGGGACCTGAACCATCTACCTTTTCTGTACAACAAACTCACTTTCAATCTTTTGAGCTTTGCAAGCAAATCTTTCATACAATTCTCAAGAACCCATCAACACAGAAAAATCTGCCTTCACATTAATAAAAGATGTTCTATATAACTAATCATCAGGGAAAAGCAAATTAAAACAAAAAATAGATATCTCCTCACACCACAGAGACTGGCACTTATCAAAAAGAATGACAACTAGTTGATGAGGATGTAGGGGAGAAGGAAACATCATTCATTGCTGGTGGGAAGGTGGGCTGGTTCAGGCTTTTTTGGAAGACAATATGGACATTCCTCAAAACACTAGGCATTGAGTTTTTATATGCAGCAATTCCACTCTGATGATTCTTATATTGTTTCTCTTGAGCTCGTCTGGTGTGTTGTTCATTTCTTTTTAGACTGTTTTCCACCTTTTTTTGTTTTGTTTTGTAGTGTTCCTTTATCTCATCTTGCAGTACCTTGTTCTTTTCCTTAACTACTGTTAATCTGCTCTTCAGAGAGTCTATTGAGTGTTTTAAATCACCTTCAACTGGGTATGTAGGGGAAATGTTCCTATTTGTGGAGACTCTCAGAACATGTATTATTTTGATCTGGCATTAGCACCATATCTTGACACAGATGCAGGACGAGTGGGAAACAAGTGATATGTAGGATTAAGTAACAAGCAGAGAAAGCGCAGCTATGAGGGATGGTCACACCATGAAGGCTGAGTCATGAAAGCTGAGTTTTAGGCAGGTACATAGCTTAGCTGGCTGGAGTGCTTGCTCTGTATCAAGCATTTCACAGTTACCCCCAAACCAAAAAGACATGTCTGAGGTCTGAGGTGGAAAGGCACTTGGGGAAGCATTGAAAGCACAGCTGGTTCTTAAATATCTCAAGAAAGAGATGACAGAGTATAGGAGGAGTCTGGTCACTGCAGCCCAATATACTAGCATTCCAAAATACAGGGAGAACGAAAGACAAAAACTGGATGGCATGTGGGGGTAAAAGAGACAGCTGAGAAGCAACAGGAGTCAAGGGTCAATGTACATCTGTGGTGTTAAGGAATAACAAGCCACAAAATCAACAACACTAAAATCATGAGACCTAAACTTTAGTAAGTAAATTTAAAAGTGTCTGTTAAGCTTGTGCAGGCCAGAGGGGCTGCTAGTGGAGAGAAGGGATACATGTTGTGGACATGTGAGTGCAAGCCCTCTTGGGCCCACAACAAGCTGCAACAAAGGATGAATGGGAAACTTGGACCTGATGTTGGTAGACCCCACGGGTGGCTTATATGAAGCTGGAAGGAAAAAGACAATCATTTTCTCTCCATCTGCCTCTGCTACCTGGGACCCAGGTATCCGGGTTACTGGGTTCTTGTCTTGCTAAGCAGAAAAGAATTTCAGGAGTAGACAAGCAATGAAGTAAAACATTTTATTTGGAGGTTTTAAAGAGAAGGAAGAAGAGTAAGTGGGAGAGAGTGGAGAGTAATGTGCTCAAGAGAGAATGTGGGCTTTTTCAAGGACAGAGAGAGCCCCTACACACATCCCAGCATTAGACATGAAAATATACATTTTAAGAGGGGAGATGAGATCCACTGTAATTACTGGTTTTGGCATATTGAATACACAACAGATAGCTTGCGAGGCTCTGCCATGCAGGTGGAATACTCTCGGTAGCTTGCCAGGCTCTTCAAGAGGGATAGAGGCTTTTGGGGCAGCCTCTAATCGCCCTTGTAGGTGTTCCCATGGTTCAAACCACATTTGAACCCTATCAAATATGGTGCGGCAATTCTGGAAGATGGGTGTTAAGTGTCTTATTATGTGTCACAAAACGGCCATGCGGTTCAGAAAGCGTCCCGGAGCGTGGTGGCGGCTGAGTAGTGGAGGTAGTGGAGGTAGGTGAGGTCTGCCGGTGAGGTATTTATCTGGTACCAGTAGGGGTAGGGTGGGTCTTCTGTGCACAATTCAATCCCTGACTCTCTGGCGGTTGGTGGAAACAGACAGGGCAGGGTAGGGTGGGGCTCCTGGTTTTAATCCCTTGGTCACCTGTGGCTGGTGGGAGCAAGCAGAGAATCTCTGTCCCTGGGGCCATTGAGCCTGGAGTCCAAGGTCTCAGAGTTCCGCTTATCTTGTTCTGTGGGGCTCCAGTCGCGCATGAGTCTCGTTTGCCAAGGCGTCAAAAATCAGATGGGCTGGACACGTAATGAGATTTGACTAGGCTAGACAGTTGGACTAGAGCTGTTACCGAATGGATTCCACGGGATGTCAAAAGACTGCATGGTCGCCCACCTACCAGATGGTCAGACTTCTTCATCAAGATCCTGAATGATCGGTTTGACGCTCTTCCTGTTCCTAGAACAAACAGACACCATTGGGCTACACTAGCACGCGACAGGGATAAACAGAGATGTTACTGGCACCCGCTCGAGCAAATCGTCGATTAAAGGGAAGTCAAGTGATCAAGTGATCAAGAGGGGAGATGCAGATGACACATGTCCTCGGCCACGTGGGCACAAGCAGCACATGGGCTCAGGCACCATTATGTGTGCCCTTCCTTTGTTCAAGGTGGCTTTTATAGGGTTTCTCCAATCTGCACCCACGTGGGGCTTCTACCTAGATAAGAGTCCATTGGCAGGGTTTTTATAAGTGGGTAGAATTGGGTGCGGCCTTCAAAACTCCTTCTCTTGACCTTGGTCCTACTGGATCCTCTCTCAGAGGATGGATCCAGCCTTCTCCAGTCTGGACTATTTGAGGATTAATGGGATTAAGGAAGAGGTCTGAGGGTTTTCGAGGATGGGGAAGAGCCCAATCTCCTCAGGGTCCCCTGTTGAAGGTCTTATCTCTGGTCTTGTTAGGATTTTTATTTCCCAGGTATTTCATGTAAATTCTGGCGGCTTCCTTTCCTAGAAGTTTCATTTCCATGGAGCCCATCCCTGTCTATCTGCCAGCCTACATCAGACCCGCACTCCAAAGTCTGTCCTGGGAGTTTTGTGCATGCAGAAGGTGATGCATAGAGAAAAGCGGTTTGAGGCCGCATTCGAGGACAAGAAACTGCGTCAAGGACCACACACCATCGTGCCACACATCCAGAGGCTCGGAAGGCGTCACCAGAGGTCCACTTTCTGGGCGTTGGGCAGGAACTCTGTTGCTCTCCGACCATGGTGAGAGTCCTGGGCGGCACGCAGCAGAGAGCACCAGGCAAGACCCAGGCCGGGGTCAGGCTGGCTGCGGACTTGGGCGAGCCCTCCTGCACTCCCGCACGAAGGCGACCCTTGAAGGGGTTGGGGGCGCAGGGTAAGAGTCTGCTTCCCCCAGGTTCGGGGACATATCCTGATGACGGCCCTGGACCACGGGGTGGAGGCGGGGTTCGCTTTGGCAGACACGCGGCTGACGGAAGCCGGAGCCAGGGCGGGAAGCTGCGGAACGGGGGACACACCAGTCCCACGTGTCAGCGCGCCACACCCCGATATGCAGGTCACCAGGGCCAGCCTCCCCGAGCAGTGCCGCCCACCTAACGCAGTGGCGCACCCGCTCCGCCCCTCCCTACCCCACCCCGCCCCCGGCCCCCGTGCGCCCCGCCCCCGTGCGCCCCGCCCCGCCCCCTCGCTCTGCCCCGCCCCCCGCGCCCCGCCCTGCCGGCCTCGCCCCGCCCCGCCCCCGCGAGTCCCCGCTCCCCTTGCGCCCCGCCCCGCCCCGCCCCGCGTTCCTGCCACCGCCCAGACCCCGAGGCCAGTCCCTACGACAAGCGCGTCACGTTCCCGCTGACCGTTGACCGCCATACCGGTGTCCCCGGCGGTCCCGCCGCACCTGCCTTCCCTGCCCCTCCCCGGCTCGGGTCCCCGCAGCACCCCGCCGAGCCGGGGAGGGGACGTGCTCCTGCCGGGCGCCCGGAGGCTGCAGGGGGTGCGGAGTCGGCCCGCCCCGAGGGGCGTGAGCAGGGGCGGAGCCACGGACTTCGGACTCGCGGCCCTGCTGAGCCCAGCCGCGTCTGGAAATGGCGATGCCGGCTTTCTGGCTCGAGGTGCGCGACTCCTGCACCTCCATGGGCCTGATGATGTCGGTGGTGCTGCTCGTGGGGGTGGCCCGCGTGTGTGTGCGGCAGCATGTGCAGCGGGCCGCGCTGCACGCCTTCCTGTTGGAGCTGCTGGCCACCTTTCAGCTGTGCCTCTGCACGCACGAGCTGCAGTTGCTGGGCGAGCAGGAGCCCCCGCACTCTAGCTGGCCCCTGACGCTCATCTACTTCTTCTCGCTGGTGCATGGGTTGACTCTGGCCGGCACATCCAACAACCCGTGCGGCTTGCTGATGCAGATTCTGCTAGGGGCCATGACCCCCTCTACGGGGCTCCTCAAGCTGGGGGCCCAGCTCATCGGGGCCCTGAGCAGCAAGCTGTGCGTCGTGGGCCTGTGGAACCTGGAGTTGGCCCGCTTCCACGATAGCGACAGGAGCTTCGTTTGCAGGAGTCCCATCCAGGTGGACCTGGCCAAGGCCTTCTTCGTCGAGAGCCTCTGCTCCTTTATCTTCCACAGTGCCCTGCTGCACTTCCAGGAGGTCCGCGCCACGCTGCGCATCCACCTGCTCTCGGCGCTAATCACCTTTTTGGTCTATGCAGGTTTGTACCCCCCCCCCCCCCCCCCATAAAGCGATGGGTGTACCCGGGGTCTCCATGACCCGAGGCTCCAGGTGCCTTGCTAAGATGCATCTTCGTAATATTGGTACCCCCATTACTCTTAACTCTTTTTGCAGAGCCCCCCTCCCTCTTTTGTCACATGGGAACATGTTGATCCTCCAGTCAAGGCAGCTTGGAACACCTGAGAGGCGCCTCCGTGTGAAAGTGAGATGCTGTGAGGCTGCCAAGCGCCCTAATACCTGCACAGGGTGTTGAATGGGCGGGGAGATTGAGACGGGAGAGTTGGGAGATGGATTACCTGCGCTTTCTTCTCACCAGCCTGCTCTAGATTCTTTGACACTACTGGTAAACGGTTCTGTTTTTTAAAGTTCCTTTCAGTCTACAGCACAGGCCACCTGATCAGTAATACATGAGGGGAATAGAAATTCCGTGGAGTTCTTTTAACGGTTCTTTACCGACAAAATTATCTTTAATCATTAGTTGCACATGCTCTTTTCATCTATGAAGAAACATGTGAGGGTCTTTTTAAAAATTTTTTTGCTACACCAGGCAGTGTTCCTACTCTCAGAAATCACTCCTGTCACTGCTGGGGGTCCATATGGGATGCCAGGGATGGAACCCTGAGTCGTAGGCCATGAGCGAGGCAAGGGCCTTACCCACTGTATTTTCTCTCCAGCTCCAGAAAGATGTGTTTTAAAACGAAAACTTGCTTGAAATTAAAGACGCTTTAAGGAAGAAAAAAAAAACTAGGGGTGGGTGAGTGCGGAGCAATAGTACACTGGGGAGGGCATTTGCTTTGCACGAGTAGTACCCAGGTTTGATCCCCAGCATCCCGTATTGTCCCTGAGGACAGAAATAATTTCTGAATGCAGAGCCAGGAGTAGACCCTGAGATTGCTGGGTGTGACCCAAAAAAGCAAAAAAACAAATGAATAAAAACCTGGGGATCAGAGCGATACTATAGCAGATAGGACACTTGCCTTGCACCCAGCTAAACAAGTTCAATACGCCACACCCTACATGGTCTCCGGAGCACCACCAGAGTTGATCCCAGAGCACCAAGTCAGGAGTAAGCCTTGAGCAGGTCCAGGTGTGATCTCAATAAGCCCCCAGTAAAATAAAATAAACAATTTGATAATTTTTTTGATTTCTTATAAACAGTTTATCATAGCATGAAGTGGGTAAGTCAGATACTTTAGATGGAACAAAGAAATCTAAAAAGCAAAAGTTTACCGATGAAATGTATAATTTTATTTTATTTGAGAGTATGTATGCCAGGATCGTACCCAGGGCCTCATACATGCAATGCATATGCTTTTCCAAGATAAAACATGATGTTTTAAAGGCTGCAACAAAAATCTTCATTAGGGTTGTATCTAAATTATTAAATGTTTTTCGGGGGCAAGAATCTAATAAAAGAAGGTGGGCAGTAATAAGTTTTCATTCTGTACACTAAAAGTGAGTAGAAGTGACCCTTAATTGCCTCTTGAAGTGAAGGAGCACCTGCCTTAGCCTGAGTTCCATCTTGGGCACCACAACAAAGGAACGCAGAAAAACACCCACACATTTTCTTGACGTCCCAGGATAAGAATGAAAGGCTTACGGCTGGAGAGATAGTAGGTAGGGCTCTCATCTTGCACACAGCCAACCTGGGTTCGTTTTCTGGCATCTCGTATGGCCCCTCAAGCATCATTAGGAATAATTACTAAGTGCAGATCCAGGAATAACCCCTGAGCATCACTGGGTATGACCTAAAAACAAAAACAAAAGTTATATACAATTGGATTTGTCTGTACCTATGTCTCTCTTGATTACCCTAAAGTTGGTGTTCTTCCTGTTTTTATATTTTATGTACATTTCTACAATAGCATATTTAACAGCCAATTTCTATTTTGTAAATAACAGATATTTTGGGAAAACATTGAAGTTATAGATACATGTAAAAATTTATTAAAAATAACCCAGAAAATATTAATATCTATATAATAATATTAATGTAACATTGACACTGAGACCGTTGAGATGCAAGTATGCTGTGCAGAGAGCTCAACATTTTGACAGTATGGGCTCAACATGTTGTATACAAGAAGCCCAGCTTTGATCCCCTGCATCTGCATACAGCCCAGAGTATCCCCCAAAAAAACAAAACAAAGTGAGGTAAGGAATTGATTAGGTAGGCGGAGAGAGCTAAGGAATTCTAGTGACATTTTGTTGTTGTTGTTATTGTTTGTTTTGGGGTCACATCTGGCTATGCTCAGGGATTACTCCTAGTTCTGCACTCAGGCGTTACTCCTGGTGATGCTCAGTGGACCATATAGGATGCTCAGGATTGAACTCTGGTTGGCGTCATGCAAGGCAAACGTCCTACCTGCTGAACTATTGCTCTCACCCTCATCTAGTGACATTCTGCATTCAGATCATCAGATGTTGATCAAGACATCAAGACAAATCAAATGTTGCATTTGTCTTTATCTGGTTCTCACCTTTCCTTGCTTATCTGACAGCTCAGGGAAGAGTGCAGGCAGTCTTCTCTGCACTCCAGTGTGAAACCAGGGATAAGATAGGAGGGCTCCAGTTTACAAAGGAGGCTAACTCTTCAAGCCCATGTCCTCACTTGCTTGGTTTCACTCTGAAAAAGCCTGTGTTCTTTCTTGAACACATACTTCTCCCATTTTCCCCCCTCCCATCTTTCTAAATAAGTCTCATAAAAACTCCTTTGGAAAAAATAAAAACCCAAGGATTCCTACCCACTTCCTAGCTACTAGCTGCATACAGCTGTCTAGATAAAAATAGATTATGACCTGGAGAGATGCTCCGTGGGCTGAGCACATGCGGGAGGTTCAGGTTCCACCCCTGGCACCACATGGTCCTCTGAGCACCACCAGGAGTGAACCCCAAGCACAGAGCTGCGAGTAGCCCCTGAACACCTCCAGGGTTGGTCTCCAAGCTAAAAGAAAAATCTTGTAGTTATGACATAATAGAGCTGTAAAAGTATTAATGTGAATTCCCAGAGAATCTACCTTAATTTAAGTTTGGAAAAAAATTATTTAATGAACAGGGTAAAATGAGAGTACATTCATTTTTAAAATTAGACATTAAAAAATGCTTTTACACATCTAAGTTTTATTTTTACTGTACCTATTCATTTACTTTGTATGATTTAAATCATACACTTGTTTTCTTTTTTTGTTTGTTTTGAGGTCACACCCGGCCAATATTCAGAGCTTAATCCTGGTTCTGGGTTCAGGGATCATTCATGGCAGACTCAGGGGAACAACATAATAGAACCCGGGTCAGCCATGTACAAAGCAGATGCCCTACTACTGTACTGTCTCTCCGGCTTCATATACTTTTTTTCTGATAAGTGTCTTCATTCACCAGAAAGTAAGCTTATTGAGTACACAGACAAGGTTGGTTTTCTTAATCAATTATAATGTGTAACCAGGATTTAATATGGTGTCACCTGGCACAAAACACTCATAATTTTTCCATCGAAGGAATAACATAGAAAATACTCTTCTGTTTTTGGTGGGAGGGAAGATGGGTCACACCCAATGATGCCTAAGGTTTATTCCTGGTTTTGTGTTCAAGGGTCACTCCCAGACGTGTTGGGGGAACATGCAAGTACCAGGGATCATACCAGTTATCAGAGTTGCAAAGCAAGCACCTTAGCCCTTGTTCTAGCTCTCTGGCCACCCTGTTAATTTTTTAAATCACATAAAGGGGTTACTGACACAGAGATTAAAATGCTTGCTTTGCATGTGGGCAGACCCCAGTTTGATCCCCAGCACCACACTGGTTCAGCAAAGCCCCACAAGGAGTGATTCCTGAGCAACAGAGCTGGGAGTAAACCCTGAGCACAGTTAGGTGTGGCCCAAATCCCTTGCTCCTCCCATCAAATAAAGTAAGTAAAGTAAAGGCCCTCCCGTTGATCATCGATTTGCTCGAGCGGGCCCAGTAACGTCTCCATTGGAGACTTTGTTGTTACTGTGTTTGGCATATCGAATATGTCACGGGGAGCTTGCCAGGCTCTGCCGTGCGGGCGAGATACTCTTGGTAGCTTGCCGGGCTCTCCGAGAGGGGCGGAGGAATCGAACTCAGGTCGGCCATGTTGGCTGCAAGCAAGGCAAACGCCCTACCGCTGTGCTATCGCTCCAGCCCCCCCCCCATCAAATAAAAAATAAAAATAAAATACTGATTGGTATTTCATATTAATAATAAATGGATCATTTAAGCATTTTCATATGTATATTAGGATTTTCCAAGTTCTTTTATTTCTGAAGGATTTCCACAAGTATGATTTTGCCTCTTACCCTAGGACATTTGGCAATATCTGAATCTGATTTTTTTTGTTTGTTTTTGGGTCATACCCGGCTTTGCACAGAGATTACTCCTGGCTTATGCACTGAGGAATTGCTCCTGGTGGTGCTCGGGGGACCATATGGGATGCTGGGAATTGAACTTGGGTCAGCCACGTGCAAGGCAAACACCCTACCCACTGTGCTATCGCTCCAGCCCCCTGAATCTGCTTTTAATGGTTACACTGAGGGAGAGAAGAATGTCCTCCTTCCATCTAGTGGGGGAGGCTCTGGATGCTGCTAAGACCCCTGCAATCAAGAACAGTCTGTCCAAAGCCTGCCAATGCCACATGTTTGGGGCTTTGTTAGCACACCTCTTAAAACCACAGTAACCTAGTACTTTTCATCGTCCTCTGGGTTTGCCTAGAAATTGCTTCTGAGACCACATAGCTGGACATTGGTAGGACTGGCAGATGAGGTCTAGAGGAAACCTGGGCGCAGAACTGGACCATGAGCCCTGCAGAGTAATTAGTGGTGAATGTATGCTCATCACTCATGATCACTTCATTTATTGTTTAAAAAAATTTTGTCACCACTTTGCAGTTGCTTGCTTGCTACGGCTATAGGTGAACTGCATATCTCTGTCTGTGGCTTGGTCTTGAGGGTCTTAACCTCCTCAGCAGCTTTGTCAAACTCAGCTGGCAGTTACAGGGATCCCAGGTAGACCCCAGAGGCCAAGCAGCAGGAGCACAGAACCCAAACAGCAGTGTCTTCTGTTTTTTAAATTTTATTATGGAGTAGGTAACTAGGTCTATAAAGGTTTATAATTTTGATGTGCAAAGTTACTGAACCTCCACCTCCAAAGTGCCCCAGCCCTCCACCACATCCCCATGGCACCCCTAGTCCTCCTGCCAAACCTCCTCTTCCATTTCCTCCCCCATTCATTCTTCATAGTCCTCTTGAAAAATAGAAACAGAGCATTAAAGCTTTTCTCCTTTTGAGTGATTTGATTGGGGCCACACCCAGCAATGCTCAAGGACCCTATATTTTGTTTAAAACACAAAGGTGTGCATATGCACAAGAGGACTGGGGCTATTATATCCATTTAAGGGGCATTTTTATTTCACTTAAATTGACGAATATTTAGAAAGACAGTCAAATCTGGTTTTTGGTGGGGAGCACACTCAGTGTACTCCAGGGCTATTCCTGGCAGTGTACTCAGTACTCCTGCTGGTTCTCATGAGACCACATGCAGTGTCAGGGACTGAATCAGGATTGGCCATGTACAAGGCAAGAGTCTTAACCCCTCCACTATTTCTTCAGCCCACCAAATCTATTTTATAATAGATTTGAATAATAGAACAAATTATACGTGCATTTTATTATATAAACTTTTAAAATGGCCTTTAAAAAATCTGCACTTAGATTATAATGATGACCTATAATATATTCTTATACCTTATATGTCAGGTAATTCTGCAAAGGAAGACAATAGAATAAGAACATTTAAACACCTAAAATAGAAGTCATATTTGGTAACCACTTTATTTCTAATCACAAGAAATGTGCTTTGGGGGCTGGAGAGAGAGTACAGTGAGTAAGGTGCTTACCTTGCACATGGTCGACCCTGGTTTAATCTCTGGCATCTCATACGGTCCCCCAAGCACTGCCAGGGATAACCCCTGAGCATCATTGGGTGTGACAGAAAGGAAAGAAAAGAAGAGATGGGGGTTGGGAGAGAGAGGGGGAAGGAAAGATGGAAGAAAGGAAGGGAGCAAGGAAGAAAAGAAGGAAAAGAAAGAAAATACATAAATAAATTTGCTTTTATATAACTGTTTGAAATGTCTTACAGGAGGAAGTCTGACAGGAGCTATATTCAATCCAGCTTTGGCACTTTCACTACATTTCAAGTGTTTCAGTGAAGCTTTTTTTCAGTTTCTTATGATATATTGGCTGGCTCCTTGTTTAGGTAAGCATATTTTTACTTAATGTGACTACAACATCAGCACATCTTAAATAAGGATCTGGAACTCTACTAAAACATGAACTTCCAAAGTCAGAGTAGTCATCCAAAAACAGAGAAAAAGCTAGTTAACATACTTGAAATAACAATTTCACTTTGATCTGTAGCCTTTAAAGACTTTTTATTTTCAGTAAAACAAATGTATCTAGTTGACTATAGTCAGTTTTAGATATGACACCACTTTAGAAACCCTAAGACTTCAGAGCAAAAAAAATGTGGGGACTATTTTAAGATTAGTTTTTTTTTGGTACAGAAATTAATTATTATTTGTAAGCTCCAAAATAATAGTGAGTGCAAGTTTAAAAGTTATCCATAAGTTTCATAATCTGTTATTTGGAGCAGAAGATACATAATACTCTTTTACACATCTGAGTCAGATAACACAAAGCATTTAAAAAGCACTTTATAATATGTTTCTACATAGAAATCATCACCATTTCTTGATATTATTTAGCTGTTTTAACAATATAACTGCAAAAACTCTGAGGATACCTGACTGTCTACTGTCAATGTCCTTCCTTTCCTTTTAGCTCCATCAGAGCTTTGTTTCTTTGGAAAGGACTACACTCCATCACCCTGTCTAATGTTCTTCCATTTCTTTGCTCTTAAGCCTCTTATGTAACCTCTTTGAATGACTCTTGTAAAAACCATTTCTTCTCATCACTCAACCCAGTAGCTCTGAGTGGTCTTCCACTTCCTTCTACCCCTGTACGCTTATTCCTTACCTACCCTGCTCAATACATTCTGTAGGCTTACACACAAAGAATAACATCGAAAACCTGGATCCCACTCATGATGCTCAGGGACCATTCCTGGTGGTACTCGAGGACCCCATGTGGTGACCTCGGGTCACTTGTGGCAAGGCGAGTACCTTAAAACCCCGGAACTGTCTCTCTTGCTCTGGCCCCGAAAACCTAAATTTTAAAATTTAGAACTGTTTTCAGTTCTACGGATTGTTTAAAGATCATTTTTCTCTCTTTTTTTAATTAAAAATAAAAAAGGTCATTAATTAGACAGCTTTAAAGTTTTGTTTTGTGGGGCTTGGGTCCATATTAGGCTATTCTCAGGGCTAATTCCTGGCTCAGGGATCATTTCTGGTGAGGCTTAGGGGGACTACATGGGGTGCCAGGGACTAAGCCCAGGTCAGTGCACATGCAAGCCAGCACCCTACCCATAGTACCATCTCTCTGAGTTATATGGGAAAATACTGATTTTTTAAAAAAAAAAAAACACACTGTATATAATTAACATTATGTATTTGTGAATGTACTCCAACTACTATCTTAACAACAGGCCCATAATATAAAGGAATTACTTTTGCTCACTGCTTAAAAAAAAAAACCTAAAAGGAGGTATTTATTGGGGTCTCCTCAAAGTGCTCAGGGCTCTGAGGCCACTCCAGTGACATTTGGCCCCTGGTACGGGCCTGGCTTCTGGTAGTGTCCAGGGGCCACATGGTGCAGAAATGGAACTCATAGCCCAGTGTACACAAGACCTGCAGTTCTGTGAGTGATCCCCGGCTCCTGTTTAGCACACAGGCTAAGACCTGTGTGAGACCCTGGCTTAAATGTCTAGCATTGCCCCCCCAAAATCAGAATGATGTTTCTGGGGGTCAGAAACTTTTCATTAAACACATTTTCTAGCCCAAATCAATTACAACTACTTTGTGGCAGAACATGATAGGAAAAAAGGGCCAGTAACTGCTCTGTTAGACTGTGTGCAATCAGGGATAGAGAGCACGCAGCAGGCCCAAGGCTGAATCTTTAGAGCCCCAACGACTCCCAGGGACTGCCAGGAACAGCCCCTGAGCAGTACTAGGTATGGCCCCAAAGCAACAAAATCCAAGCAAACAAAAAGAAAGCACACAGAGCAGTGCAGAGTGTGGCGGGGGTCTCCTGTAGGAATATTATATTCTCTTCACAGCTGTATGACCCACCTGACATTACTTGTAGTCCCTGTAACATTTGAAAGACCCACTTACCCACTAACAATCCAAATATCAGAAAAAAGAACAGAGTAAATGCATTCTTAGTCACTTACTTTATTCCCCTCTCGGAGAGCCCGGCAAGCTACCGAGAGTATCTCGCCCGCACGGCAAAACTTGGCAAGCTACCCGTGACATATTCAATATGCCAAACACAGTAACAACAAGTCTCACAATGGAGACGTTACTGGGCCCGCTCGAGCAACTTGATGAACAACGGGAGGACAGTGACAGTGACAGTGACTTTATTCCCCCAAACACTGCCAGAGGTCTTGACAGCCTGAATAAGAGGGAGGGAGAGCTACTCATTCACAGTATTGGGTATGGCCTCATAGTATTTAATCCAAATATGTTATGGAGTATACATTTTTGCAACTATATATGCTCTTACTTGGTTTGTTGAAAATGAGTATTCACAGACGGTTTCTTAGCTTAAATATCTTGGTGTTATTTTTCCTACATAGAGCTAATATGATATTTCTTATTGTAGCTTTTGGTTTACAGATATGTAATATGATATGTAACATGATATGTAACACATGTTATATGATATGTAATGTAATATGTTATATAATGTAATATGATATGTAATATGTAATACAATATATTTATTATAGATTTTGGTTTACAGAGACATGTTTATTTCTTGAATAAGATCCAATACAGAAATCCTTCTGTGTTATGTGATTAAAGGTGTGAATAGGGGGCTGGAGCGATAGCACAGCAGGTAGGGCATTTGCCTTGCATGCAGCCGACCCGGGTTTGATTTCCAGCATCTCATATGGTCCCCCGAACACCGCCTGGAGTAATTCCTGAGTGCATGAGGCAGGAGTGACCCCTGTGCATTGCCAGGTGTGACCCAAAAAGAAAAAAAAATAGAAAAGGTGTGAATAAACAGGGCAAGAGAGATAATACAGCAGGTAAGGTGCTTGCCTTTATGTGGCCAACCCAGGTTCAATCTCCAGCATCCTAGAACTATGGGTAACCCTGAGTACCACTGGGTGTGGCCCCAAAACAAAAGATGTGAATAAATAGCCAGTTTTAGAATACTGTATACTTTCCTGCTGTTAAGTTTTGTCATGTAAGTTAATATTCCCACGGGGAAATCAGTAGCCTCAAATGAAACTAAATAGAATGGCCAAGCTGTTCAGGATGTACCTCAATAGTGAAGTGTATGCCTTGCATTCAGGGGCTTGTGTCCAGACTCCCAGAACTGTCATACACAAGTAATGTTAGGAGCCAGAGTGATAGCACAGTGGGCGGGCACGTGCCTTGCAAGCAGCCAACTTGGACATGATCCCCAGCATCCTCTATAGTCCTTAGAGCACTGCTAGGAACACAGAGCCAGAAGTAAGTCCTAAGCACGACTGGGTGTAGCCTCCAAACCAATTAATAAAATTTAAAAACCAGTGTTTGGGGTCTGGGAGATACTTAAAGGCTTGGAGCAGATATTCTGCATGCAGGAGACTGGGTTCAATCTTTGGTGTGGCAGGGCATAGCGACCAAGGAAGGCCTGTAAGAAATTCTAGTTCCTATAAGAGTAACTGAAAAATCTGCAGATGACATGATACTATACTGATTCCCAAAGATGCTATCAAAAGTGGCAGATTACAAAATCAATGCCCAGAAGTCCATGGGTTTCCTATATACAATAATGAAGGAGAAGAAAGAGATATTAAAAAATATCCCATTCACAGTTGTGCCTCAGAAAATCAAGTACCTCAGAATCAGCTTAACTAAGGAAGTAAAGGACCTGTATAAAGAAAACTACAAAATCTTGCATCAAGAAATAAAGGAGGACATGAGAAAATGAAGACATATCCCCTGCTCATGGAAAATTTGTAGTACTGTAGCACTGTTGTCCCGTTGTTCATCGATTTGCTCAAGCAGGCACCAGTAAGGTCTCCATTGTGAGACTTGTTGTTACTGTTTTTGGCATATCGAATATGCCACGGGCAGCTTGCCAGGCTCTGCTGTGCGGGCAGATACTCTCAGTGGCTTGTTGGGCTGAGAGGGATGGAAGAATTGAACCCAGTTCTGCCGCTTGTAAGGCAAACATCCTACCCGCTGTGCACAGTGGATAGCACAGCGGGTTAGGAGAATTAACATTGTCAAAATGGCAATATTCCCCCAAAGCATTACACAGATTTAATGTGGTCCCTATAAGGACATGCATTACATTTTTAAAAGAAATAGACCAAACACTCCTGAAATTTATATGGAACAATATAACCTCACGAATAGCTAGAGCAATCCTTGGAAAAAGATGAGTTACATCACCTTCCCCAACTTCAAACTGTACTACAAAGTGGTAGTTATTAAAATAGCATGGTATTGGAATAAAGACAGACCCACAGACCAATGGAATAGAGCTGAATATCCTGACACAGACCCTCAGATACATGATCATTTACTCTTTGATAATGGAGCAAGAAATATGAAGTGGAGCAAGGAAACAAGTGATACTGGGAAAACTGGGCAACTGCATGTAAAAAAATGAATTCTGACCTCTAATGTCATGCACAAAAGTCAGATCTAAATGAATTAAAGACCCCAGTATCAGATTCCAATCCATAAGGTATATGGAAGAAAATATTGAAGCTAAAGGCATCTTCAAAGATGAAACACCACAGACCAAGCAAGTGAAAGCAAAGATAAACAAATGGGACTACATTAAACTAAGAAGCTTCTGCACCTCAAAAGAAATGGTGACCAAAACACAGACAGCCAATAGAATGGGAAAATTATTTACCCAATACCCTTCTGATAAGGGGTTAATATTCAACATATATAAGGCACTGGTAGAACTTTACAAGAAAAAGCATCCAATGCCATCAAAAAATGGGGAGAAGGAATGAACAGAAACTTTTTAAAAATTTTTTATTAGTAAAACACCATGAGGTACAGTTGTAGACTTACAAATTTTTGTGCTTGGGTTTCAATTATACAATGATCAAATACCCATCCCTCCACCAGTGCCCATTTTCCACCACCACAGATCCCAGCATCCTTCCCACCCCCCATCCCCCCCCCCCCATCCCTCCCTGCCTCTGTGGCAGGGCATTCCCCTTTTGGGTGTTGTGGTTTGCAAAAGAGGCATTGAGTGGCAATCATGTTTGGTCTGTAGTCTACTTTCAGCATGCTTCTCCCATCCTGGGATGATCCTTCCAACACCCTTTATTTGGTGCTCCCTTCTCTATCTGAGCTGCCTTTTCCCCTAGCAAGTGTGGCTGGCCTCTAAGCCATGGAGTAAACCTCCTGGTACTAATCTCGGCTATTGAACAGAAACTTTTCAAAGAAGAAATTCAGATGGCCAAAGGGCACATGAAAAAAATGCTCTACATGGCTAATCATTAGGGAGATGCTAATCAAAACAACGAGATACCATCTCACACCGAAGAGACTGGCATACATCCAAAAGAACAAGAACAACCAGTGCTGGCACAGATGCCACTAGAAAGGGAATTCATTGTTGATGAGAATGAATGGTCCAGCTTTTTGGAAAACAATACGAACTTCCCTCAGAATACTAGAAATCGAGTTCCCATTTGACCCAGCAATACCACTTCTAGGAATATACCCTGGAGGCCCAAAACACACAGCAGAAACATCATCTGCACTCCTGTGTTCATTGCAGCACTATCCATAGTAGCCAGAATCTGTAAACAACCCGAGTGTCTGAGAAGAGGTGACTGGATAAAGAAACCATCGTACATCTACACAGTGGAATACTAAAGAGTCATTAGGAATAATGAAGTAATAAAATTTGCTTATAGATGTATAGATGTAGCGAGTATCCTGCTGAGTGAAATAAGTCAGGAGAGGGACAGATAGAGAATTACTGTATTCATTTGTGCAATATTTAATAAAAAGTATGGGGACTGATATCCAAGGCCAGGGAAAACTGTGGCCAGAAAGACAGGTCAGTGGTTGGAAGCTTGCCATAAGAGAGTGTGGGAGGCGAAGGGCAGTTAGGATCGAGAAGGGACCAGTATAACAATAAGTTCGAGATGATCATTTTGAACAGGAACTAAGTGTTGAAAGTAGGCAAAGGGATATATCTGATAACCTTTCAGCATCTGTATTACAAACCATAAGTTCCAAAGGGGTGGGAGGAGTGAGGAGAGAGAGATAGAGAGAAGAGAGAGAGAGGAAGAGAGAGAGGAAGAGAAAGGAAGAAAAAGGAAGAGAGAGAGAGACAGAGAGAAGAAGAGGGGGGAAGAGAGAGAGGAAGAGAGAGAGAAAGAGAGAAAGAGAGAGATAGTGCCTGCCATAGAGGCAGGGTAGGGACAGGAGGGAAACTGGGGACATTTGTGGTGGGAAATGTACACTGATAAAGGGATGGCTGTTGGAACATTACATAAACATTACATAACATTAACAACTTTGTAACTCTGCATGTCACTGTGATTACATTTTAAAAAATTTAAAAAATAAAGATGGAAAACCAAAACGCAAAAAAAAAAAAAAACCCCAAAAAAACCCCAAAAAAACAGAGTAATGTAAAGGCTGAAGAAGTTGTTAGGGAGATAATGAATGGGCTGAGTGCAGGCTTTGCATATAGGAGGGCTGGGCACCATCCTTAGCACCACATGGTCCCATACAACATCTCTGAGCCCCATATGAACCCTGGAACACCTGGAGCACCACCAAGTGTGGCCTCAAGACAAAACAGGGTCACCCAAATACCAGACTGATTCAGTGAAAAATCCCAGTGATGTAGCACTGTGGCTTACTCTTCTCTGTCCCTCTTCCCCCTTGAGAAATAACCTGAGCCAGGGATGCAACTCTGGTAGGGTATATGCTTCATGTGTGTGAGGCCTGGGTTTGAGTCCTAACACCAAAACACACCAAAGCAAAACACGCAAAAGCACCAAAACACCTATTTTGAGGAATCACACCGAGTGGTGGTTATCAGGAGTTACTTTGGCTCTTGGGCAGGACTGACACCTGGCAGTGTTCAGGGAACACCAACCATATGTGGTGCTGGAGATTGAATGTGAGTCAGCCACATGCAAGACAAGCACCTTAACCCCTGTGCTCTCCAGCCAGCCCAATTAAAGTAAATTTAAACAATAGCTACATGCTGGATTTGTTTGGTGTGACCTCAAAAATGAAGATTTCCTAAGTTGTGGACTCTTCATTACCTCCCTAGATATTTAAATTTCAAGCATTGAACATTTGTTTTAGATATTTTGCTTTCTGAAGCTCTAAAAGTATCTTAATGGTTAAGATTGCTAGGAGGAAGAGAAGGGATAAGTAATCCATGGCCCTTACCTGAGCATCCAGGTTAAGTATGGAGTGCTTATTCCTCATTCCCTGCTCCATCCTGGATGTGGAGGCTGAGTATCAACATTTAAAAAAATCAAATGGACATTCAAGCCTAGAGGTGTCTTACATAGCAACCTAATGAAAGAGCCAAAACTAGAACTGGAAACTTCCCAGCCTTGCTAGTCTTTTAGAGTCACTGCTTAGATTCTTCTGTTTTACCAATATTCATAGCAAAAGAAATATGTGCGGAAATTAGGTTTTAAAGATATTCAACATTTTATGTAGAACTGGTATGGCTAATTCTTTTAAGTATGGCTTTCCAAATCTCTAAATATATTAGTTGTATATAATCTCAGATTAAACCCAAGTGATTGTCAGTTGTGCATAATCTCAAATTAAAGCCAGAGTCCCCGTGAGCCTTCTGAGACTGACTGTTTTTTTTTTTATCTTACTGCATTTTGTCTTTCAGGTGTATTGATGGTGATCTTGACATTCAGCTTCTTTCTGCCATGGTTGCATAACAACCAGAGGAATAATAAAAATGAGTGACTTTTCTAAAAGCCTCAGATTAAGTTACAGGATAGTGGAGCTGGATATGAAAAAGATTTTATCACCTCACATTCAACACGTTGGCTGCACTGGACTCCCCAATGTTAGTGTCCCCTGAGGGACTCTCTATAGTCTTCCATCATTGAGACTTAGGAAACTTACTGTGAAATGAGGTATCCTGTGTTTGTTCTTTTGAGTGTGCATTAAATGCTGCTAGAAAAGTCTCATGACATTGACTGTAAATCTCAAGTGGTAATTATTGATTTTAATTAAAAAAATTTGAATAAGGGTAAGAAAGGTGGTGAGAAAAACAACAAAATCTGTATATCAAGTGTCACCTGAAGGAGCAGAATTGTTAATGTGGTAGGAGAGAGGCTTCTTTCCAGCCACTACCTCACAAGGTGATGTCAGCCACAGGATCATCTTTCTACCAGAAAGTTGCTTTTGAAAGTAAACTAGGTGTACCCTCATCCACAAGGGATGCCTTAAAATCTAAATGTATTCTAAAATATTTTTTCTAAATGGACTAGTCTCAATAACTTGAGGCAAGTTGTTATTCTTGAACAGACTTAAAAACAAACAAAAGCACCCAAAGTTAAGTTGAAAGCTTTTATATTCTCACTGGATCCTGAATTACTTTATAGAGTAGGTAGGTCATGTATTTTTAATCTCCATTTTACAGGAAACAAAACCAAGTGTAGATGAGTTTACTGGCCTGTCCAAGGTCAGATAGAGCCAAACACCATGATCAGAACTTCTGCTTCAATTAAAAAAAAAATCAGCATTATCACAAAGGAAAACTCCTGAGTTATGAAATATTATATTAAAACTTTGTTTCAGGGTCTGGAAAGATAGTATAGGGGGTAAGGCACTTGCCTTGTAGTTTTTCCAACCAGGGTTTGATTTTGGGCCCCCTGTGCACCACCAGAAATAATTTCTGAGTGCAGAGCCAGAAGTAACTCCTGAGCATCACCGGTGTGACAAAAAAAAAAAAAAAAAAAAGAAATTGTTTAGGTTCAGTGATAGTGCACATGCTTGCATGTGTGAAATGCTTGGTTTGATCCCTGGCAACACTAAAGAATTTAATATTTTTTTTCTTTTTGGGTCACATCCAGCACATCCAGCAATGCACAGGGGTTGCTCCTGGATCATGCATTCAGGAATTACTCCTGGTGGTGCTTGGGAGACCATATGGGATACTGGGAATTGAACCCGGGGTGGCTGCGTGCAAGGCAAACACCCTGCCCGCTGTGCTATCGCTCCAGCCCCAATAAAATTCTTTAAGAATTAACATGCTTGGGGCTGGAGCGATAGCACAGTGGGTAGGGTGTTTGCCTTGCACACGGCCAGCCCTGATTCGATTCTCAGCATCCCATATGGTCCCCGGAGCACTGCCATGGGTAATTCCTGAGCACAGAGCTAGGAGTAACCCCTGTGCATCGCCAGGTGTGACCCAAAAAGCCAAAAAAAAAAAATTAACATGCTTCAAAAAAAATTTTAGACTCTTCTAATCACAACCCTACCATTTCTTCTCCTCCCCTTCCTCCTCTACGGTTTAAAAAAACCTTCAAAACTTTCTCCCTAGAAGTTTATTTTCATTGTATGAACCTATTTTTCACTAAAAATTCAGTTCATAGGGACTGGGGCGATAGTACAGCAGGTAGCACATTTGCTTTGCACGCGGCCGATCCGGGTTCTATTCCCAGCATCGTATATGGTCCCCTGAGCACCACCAGGAGTATTTTCTGAATGCATGAGCCAGGAGTAACCCCTGTGCATTGCCAGGTGTGACCCCCCGCCCCCCCCCAAAAAAAAGTCAGTTCATAACAAGTTGTTTTTCTTTGAAGGAAATTCCCCAGGATTAGAATTGAAAGTTTAAAAAAAAAAAAAGGGCAGGGGGTGAGATAAAACCTAAGTAATTAAGTGGCTTTTAAGTAGCCAGTGACTAAGTGCTACTTGGTGAGCACATTATGGTTGTCACTTGCCCAGAAGACAGCCATGTGCAATCATGGACCTTGTCTCTTGAACCTACAATCACATCTGGTCATTTCTATTTATTTATTTATTTTTGTATGTGGGGAGCAAGAGGATTGGAGGGGAACATATAAGGCAGTGCAGGGGGTTGAATCTTGGTTAAGACTTAACCCTTGATAGATTTTTTTGTGGGGGGAGGGTAAAAAGGGGGAACCCCAGGGCTACATCCAGTTGTGTTGGTCCAGGGTGTGTGGGGGCATGTTGTGTTGGGGAGCAATTCTAAGGTCATGCACATGAAAAGCAAGTTATCAACTACTTGAGACAAATCCCAGCCCCCTATTGCTACTTTTAAAAGCAAGTTTGTGTGGCTGGAGAGATAAAATAGTATAAGGATTAAGACTCTTGACCCACACATAGCGGACCCTTGTTCAATCCTCAACACCTCATATGATCAGTTCCCTGATCACTGCCAAGAGTTCTGAGCAGAGCCAGTCGGGTGTTGCCCCAAAATAACCCCAAATGTAGAAAACTGAATGTGAAGGAATACAATTTCCATAGTAGTCAAGATTGTGGAAGTTCCAATCATGTTTTTTATCAAGCCCACTTTCTGGCCAGAGAGTAGGGGCGAACCTGCCTTGCCTGCCAGTACATGGTCCCTTGAGCACCACCAGGAGGTATCCTTGAGTACAAAGGTGGGGCAACAGAGTCCCCAAACAGGTGTAATCTAAATCTCCTTTTTGTTTCAAGTGAAGTGTTCGCTGCACTGTTGCTTTTATTTATTTTTAAAAATTTTTATTAGACGCCATGTTTGCTGCGTGCAAGGCAAACGCCCTACCGCTGTGCTATCGCTCCAGACACCATGAGGTACAGTTGTAGACTTAGAAATTTTTTGTGCTTGGGTTTCAATTATACAATGATCAAATACCCATCCCTCCACCAGTGCCCATTTCCCACCACCACGGATCCCAGTATCCCTCCCATCCCCATCCCCCTCAACCCACCCTGCCTCTGTGGCGGGTCATTCCCTTTTGTTCTCTCTCTCCTTTTGGGTGCTGTGGTTTGCAAAAGAGGCAATGGGTGGCAATCATATTCGGTCTAGAGTCTACTCTCAGCATGCTTCTCCCATCCTGGGAGGATCCTCCCAACACCCTTTATTTTGCCCCATGGCTTGGAGGCCAGCCACACATGCTAGGGGAAAAGGCAGCTCAGATAGAGAAGGGAGCTTTTATTTATTTTTTTATAGAGAAGCAGGGCCATTATTTTTTTTTGGGGGGGGGGTCACGCCCGGCGATGCTCAGGGGTTACTCCTGGCTTATGCACTCAGGAATTACTCCTGGCGGTGTTCGGGGGACCATATGGTATGCTGGGGATCAAACCTGGGTCGGCCACGTGCAAGGCAAATGCCCTGCCCGCTGTGCTATTACTCCAGCCCCCAACAAGGCCATTTTTATTAAACGAAACTTCTTTAAGAAAGATGTGAGGGCTGGAGCAATAGCACAGAGGGTAGAGCGTTTGCCTTGCACGCAGCTGACAAGGGTTCGATTCCCAGCATCCCATATGGTCCCCTGAGCACCGCCAGGGGTAATTCCTGAGCACAGAGCCAGGTGTAACCCCTGCGCATCGCCAGGTGTGACCCAAAAAGCAAAAAAAAAAAAAAAAAAAAAAAAAAAAGAAAGATGTGAGAGGGGAGAAAAAGGACAAGTATGTGTTCAAGAGAGAACATGGACTTCTCCAGAGTGGAAATAAACAAGCAAAGAAACAAGCAATCAGGACATATGGTCAAGGGAGACCCAGGACTAAAAAGGAAGCATGCAGTGTTGTTTTTAATAATTACTAATTGGAAGCTTAAATGCCTCAAGAAAAAGCATTAGGCTTGCTCTCCAAGCTAGCGTTTTCCCATGAAGACATACCATGCTTGTCTCTTTGCTTGCTCTTTAAAGTTAGTTCTCTTAAACATGTATTCTTTCCTTCCCCACCCCCACCCCCTGCATCATTCCAGTAAATTTTGTCTAAATTAACCTACTATCTCCTGGAAATATACCTAGGGGCCCAAAAACAATGCAGAAAAGTCATCTGCATTCCTATGTTCATTGCCGCACCATTCACAATTGCCAGAACCTAGAAACAATCGGAGAATAGACAACTGGATAAAGAAACTGTGGTACATCTACACAATGGAATACTATGAAGCCATTAGGGAAAAAAATGAAATCATAAAATTTGCTGATACATGGGTGGACATGGAGAATATCATGCTGCATTAAATGAGTCAGAGGGAGAGGGAGAGATAGAATGATGGCACTCATTTGTGGTATATTAAAAAAACCACCAAAAAAATCACGATCACGATCATCCTTCTGTTTGTCGATTTCCTCGAGCAGGAACCAGTAACGTCTCCTTCTTCCTAGCCCTGAGATTTTAAAAGAGCCATTTCAATGCTCTTTCAGGATTAGGAGAATGGGCCCCATCATTGCTACTGGTATTTGGCATTTTGAGTACGACACAGGAAGTTTGCCAGACTCTGCCGTGCGGGCAGGATACTTTTGGTAGCCTGCCAGGTTCTCCAAAGGAAAATAAGATAATAAGCTTCCGGGAGCTGGGTTTTATAGTCTCTGCATCTTGGCCGTTGATGGGACCAACTTGGCGCTGGCGGCAGCTGGTGGGTGTGACGACTACCTACTGGAAGATGGTGGGTCTAGGTGGAGAAGGCCCAGTCCCAGTCTGAGTAGGCTTGGAGACCTCAGCCCCAGGACCCGCATGCCTGGGTTCCTCTGCTAGTTCTTTCATGCATGAGGCTTGTCCGGACGTGTGGAGAGTGGTCCCAGCATGGCCGTGGCTGGCTCCAGAGGTCCTCAGCTGCTGGGGCTCCGCTCGGGGCGCGGGAGGGAGACTCAACCCGCCCCCCTCCAAGGGACCCCGATGAGGACATCCAGGTGCAGGGGCAGGAGACTCTGCACCAAAAAAATAGTATGAGAATAATATCCAAAGGCAGTAGAAAAGGGTCGGGAAAATCAGTCTGTGATAGGAAGCTTGCCAAGTTATGGGGTGGGGGGCGGGGGTGTCAGTCAGGACAGAAAATGGACCACTATGACAATAATTGGAAATGATCACTGGACAAGAACTGAGTGCTGAAAAGAGGTAAAGAGGTATACAGCATTGCAAACCACAATGCCTTTAAGGAAAGGAATGGGTGGGGGGGAAGAGAGAGAGAGAGAGAGAGGTCTGGTGGCAGGAAGAAGGCAGGAGGGAAACTGGGGACATT